TCTAACAACGCGAGCACATGTTCTTCCAAAACATGCTAAATGACGCTTTATGAATGTAGGCGACCGTCGCTCCTCCCATATATCCTCCTTCCCCGTGGAGCATCACAACTGAATTAATCTGAGTGGGCCCACATGTCGAATGGCTCCTCAGACTTCAAACAGTGCCAGGGCCGACACCGAATGAAGCAGATCGACGTTTTCATCGGAATCGGACCAAGACTACATCCACTCCCTCCTCGTTCCTCCGACACTCCCCCCCCCCTCCCTGCCTCACCTCCTCGTTCCTCGCCCCACGTCCCCCGTTTCAAAAAATCACCGCAGTCGCTTCCGAATGCTAAACAAACATGATAATGATGCTGTATGACTGTGAATTCCCGTCGCTCCTCCCTGCTGTCTGAGTGCGGATTCACGTCACTCCCCCCATATCCTTATCCCTCGCACGCCTGCCCAGTGAAAATTATCCTTGGGAAATCAAGGCGACGTTCCTGTGAAACCCAGCCCCCCGATATCTCATCTTTCTCCAGACTGACGCGACAAGCATGGCAGCGTGCTTGGAGCAGTTCGCTTGGAGAGAACCATGCGACGGCGCCCGCTCCGCCCCCAACCACCCCAACCTCCGCGCCGAATCCGACTGCACCCCTCGAGGTGGCGGCCGCCGCCCGACGGCTGCAACAAGGGAGGACCGAGTGTTTTGCTAGTCCTTCGAGGGCATTGGCACATTTGAACCATGTCGATGGGTTGTTCTTGATCATATAATTAAAGCTGCTTGCTCGGGCTTATCCTCGGGGAATGTGAAATAGGGGATGTAGTCCTCCACGCCATGAGCGTGGCATAAGCGTCCGCCAAGCTCAGGTTGACCCTATGGACAAGAGAGGGCCGGCCGGCCGAGAGGGCGCGCCCGGGGAGGGCGCGCGCGCGCGGCGGGCGGGGCGCCGCCTTTTTCAAACAGAGCACACACACACACACACACACACACACAGCTACGGAACTATCGCTGCAGGGGCTGAATGGGCCTGGCTGGCAGCCTAAAGCGACTCCCCCCGCGGCCGGCCCGGCGTGCCCCACGCGCGCAGGCGGGCGTTCCTGTTTTAAGCAACGCCCCAAAATACTTAAAAACGCACGCGGCGCCCGGCAGTCTGCCCTCAGACTGGCTCGCCGCGCGCTCGACGCAAGTGCATCGCACCCCTGCCCCGCGGCGGCACAACCGTCCCACGCGGGCGCTTTCGAGCCGCAAAGTAATTGGACTCGAGGGGGGCCTGGCGACGTCGTCGCCGGCATCCGCCCCGGCCCCCCCCCCCCCCCCCCCCACCACCACCCTCACCTGCGGCCGCGCGAGCCCCAGCTGTCGCTGCTCCGGGCATCCGAGCTCCACGTCCATGATGACCACCAGTCACTGGCACTGCCCTGCCAAAATGTGGAAAATCCGCGGCCCGTTACTCCGCGACGTAGCGCCCGCGCCAAGTCCGGCGCCTGGGCGCCTCGGCATCAGAGCGCCACGGAGCATTCCGAGAATCCCGGGCAGCCGGAGGACGCAGCGTCGGCGTGCATCCAGAAGAGGCTGCCCCCGAGCTCTGCGGGGCATCCCACTGCGTCGGGTTCTCAGCACAGCGCCTCAGAAACTCTCGACGGTCATCGGGCGCCTGGCTGTTGGCCCTCTTCGCGCCTCTGCCACTGCTCGCATCGCCCCCCCCCCCCTGCCCGCGCCACCCTCACCCGCTCTTACTGCCTTCGGACGCCCCTCGGGCTGCGCGGAACGAGGTCGCCCCGCACCTTCTGCAGAAGGCCCGCGCCTGGGAGCACCGCCGATATAGTCAAACGCGCTCTCTCTTTCTCTATCTCTCTCTCTCTCTCTCTCTCTCTCTCTCTCTCTCTCTCTCTCTCTCTCTCTCGCTCTCTCTCTCTCTCTCTCTCTCTCTCTCTCTATCTCTCTCTCTCTCTCTCTCTCTCTCTCTCTCTCTCCTCTCTCTCTCTCTCTCTCTCTCTCTCTCTCTCTCTCTCTCTCCTCTCTCTCTCTCTCTCTCTCTCTCTCTCTCTCTCTCTCTCTCTCTCTCTCTCTCTCTCTCTCTCTCTCTCTCTCTCTCTCTCTCTCTCTCTCTCTCTCTCTCTCTCTCTCTCTCTCTCTCTCTCTCTCTCTCTCTCTCTCTCTCTCTCTCTCTCTCTCTCTCTCTCTCTCTCTCTCTCTCTCTCTCTCTCTCTCTCAACTGGACAGCCCTCAACTCCACCGCGCGAGTGCGCGCAGCGACCTTCTCTTCAACAATCAATTCAATTCACCGCGCCCCCCCCCGCGAGCGCGTAGCTTCCCAGCCTCGGATCGAGCAGATCTCCCATGCGCGACGAGTCGGTTCGCCTCGGCCTGCTGCAAGGCAGCGGCGGCTTCTGCCGCCAGTAGTGCATTTCGGTTCTCTGATGCCCGCAATTCCGCGGCGGCCTGCGCCGTCGTCGCCCCCTGGGCCCCGCCAGCCCCCAGGACTGCGCGCCTCGCTGCTTCCGCCAAGTTCCCCCCGTGAAGATGTGCCTGGCGCTCGGGGGCGACGGCGTTTTCAAGCTTGTTGTATATAACTTATAATATCCGCCGCCGCTGCAGCCTGCCGACGCTCTCCCTGGGCGCGAGCAGCGTTTGCCCTGCCCCCCCGGCCACATTCCGACTGGCGGATAGCGACTTCCTGCTGTCGGAGCTCTGATTGCCTCAGCTGCTCGCGCGTTTCAGCTAGGTCTCGTTCCCTGCCTTCCACTATCTCGAGACCCTTCCTTTCCCCTGCCTCTCGCCACTCATCGACCCGTAATCCAGCGCAGTCGCGCGCACAGGGAGCCGCGCAAGTCGGGCAGAGGAAACTGCGATCGCAGAAATCACAGCTGTCGGAGCATCCAAAGCAGACGGGCTTCTTACACTGGCCCGAAAGGCCGGGGCACCGCGACTCAGGCAAGTCACCGCACCCGGAGCCAAAGCTGGCACACTCGGCGTTGATCCGCACGCTAAAGGGGCTCGATCTTCTCGACAAGCCAGACAAGTCCGACACCTGTGATCGCGGCCTCGGAGCCCTGGGCCAGCCTCTCTCACCGCTTTCCTTCCAGGGAGAGCGGGCGCGAAGATCAAGGGATTCAAACATCGAAGTCCGCCCGGGGGGCCCGGGGGCATAGCTCCCGGGCACCCCCCCAGGAACGAGGATTGGGCGCTGCTCCTGGGCATCGCCGGACCTGCTTCGCTTTCCGAGAGGCGAAGTAATCGAAAGGCCCGTCGGTTCTCGACTCTGTTTGTTTGCCGGTCAATCAATGTCGAGCGCGAACTCCTCGCCCGTGATGTCCCCCAAGTGCCGTTCCAGGGAACCATGCGATGGGCTTGCCGCATCTTCGCCACGCATGGGCGGCGCTTGCGCGCAACGCCGCAGAAGATCACCTAGCGGGGCGGGGAACATTGGGTCATAGACCCCGCGCCCATAGACTTGCGGTTCCTGACACTCACAATAACCCATCGGCGCAGGCGTAGATCTGCGAGAGAAGTTCCCCTCGGATGATACGGCACCCTCACCGCGGTCGCCACTCGAGGGGCGCTCGGAAGCGACCGCGCGGTCATCGAGCGGGAGGACGTCATCATTTCCATCTCCTTCATGTCCTTGGTGGAAGGTGATATTGTTCTTGAGCCTCGGCGCACTTGGACGAGGCTCTTCTGCGAGTGAATGATTCCAGAACACCTTTTTGAAGGGACGTCAACTCGACTCCTCGACCTCGTCGACGGGGTCGGATTCAGGAACTGCCGCACTCATCTTTTCATGGCGTGATCCTTCTTCAGGACGCACATCACCCTTGAATAAAAAAATCACCGTTCCTCCATCAGATAGAACCACTTTCGTCGAATGCGGAACTTTCGGCGGATAACAAATATGTTGCCAACCCTTTTCAATGGCGTTGCCATGTATTGTAACCATATTGATAAGTTGTTGTTCGGCATTGTTTTAAAGCCTCTTGAACAAGTTCATCGTCGGGGGAAGTGATGTAGGGAATGTAGCCGTCCACGCCATGCATGTGGTATAACTGTCCGTTAAGCTTACGTTGACCCTATGGATCAGTGAATCAGAGAGGGCCAGCCGGCCGAGAGGGTGCGCCTGGGGAGGGCGCGCGCGCGGCGGGCGAGACGCTGCCATTTTCAAACAGAGCCAATACACACAGCTACGGAAGTATCGCTGTGGGGGCTAAATGGGCCTAGGGGGTCCCATAAAACGACAGATAGCCCAGGGGCGGGCGTTACACGTGTCCGCGCGGAAGCATAGTCGAAGACATGGCAGGATCAGTCAGCATGAAATGGTAAATCGGACCCCCTCGAAATGCGCATCGCATCGGGCAGCACAGGCACGGCATCGGAATCGAATCAGATCGGCTGCGCCAGTCTGCACAAGAGCGCCATGCAATCATGGGGCCACGTCTGATCGTCGGAACATCGAAGTCGAATCGGATCGGGCCGGCCAGGATCGACATCGAACCAGATCGATCGGATCGAAATGGGCACTGCATGAGCGACTGGAGCCCTTCGATGCGTGTGAATTTCGCCCCTGGGCTGCCTGCCCCTGTTGCAGTCGTGGGGGGGCAACAAATAAAGGGGAAACGGCTCAGGGGGGAGGAACATCGACCTCGACCGGCGATACACGCCCAGTAGGCGATAGACTCCCGAGAGCGAATCCGAACGCCTCTGGGCGGGGTGGGCTATTGGGCGCCTCTCGGCGATGAACGGGCGATTCTGGTCGACGCACCCCCCTCCGGGCCTGGGCCCCCACTGAGCACACGCATAATAAGGACGCACGATAAAGATGCAAGGGCCTTGGAGGGCCGTGCCGACACTTTTCGAGCGGGGCGCGGCGAGCGAGAGTGGCCAAGGATGAGCCAAAGGGGAAAGGTGCAAGGGTAGCCTTGGAAAGTTTCTCGTCCTTGCTGGGCGGGTTGACTGTTGCCCCCCTAGCGTTGCCCTTGAAGCCACCGAGCTGTCTTGCCGCCCTCGCCGCCCCACGCGCCGGGTTCCTCGACCGAGCGTGGCCGCCCAGCGAGTCGCGGACGCAGCCGCGGCGGCCGAGGGCAGCGCCTGCTGCCCAGCCGAAAAGACAGCCAACGTGGAGATGCGGGGAGGGCCGTGGAGCCTGGGAGGAAAGCGCCGGGGGGCACCGGCTATCCACGTGCACCGATCGTGACCGGGCCCGTCCTGGGCCCAGAATCGGTGGGCACGCTCCCCGTGGAATCGCAGGGAAGCGTGGCATGCATGCCACGGCGAGATGCGAGGAGGGGCAGGACAGGGAGGGCGGAGGATAAGGGAAGGGGGAAGGACGGAGGGCGAATGCAGAGTAGCGAGCGAACGAGGGGCGGAGAAGTGGAACAACTTCGAGAACAAACCTTGGAAACGGGTAGCGACGGAGGAAGGAGCATGGAGCGGGTCGTAGGAGACGCGATGTCAGATGAAATGAAGGGAGGTGGAAAGGGAAAGGCGGATGCAGTGGATAGACACGGGCGGCACAGGGCAGGGGCATCGATCGGAGGGGAATGGTGAAAAAAAGCATGGGGGACGGGAGACTATGGGACAGGACAGTCGCAATTCCATTATCATCTACACCTCTCCAAGGGAGTAAAACTCAGAAGCGATTAGTGGCAATGGCTTTCACTATGTTGTTTGCCGTTTCGTGTGGAAGGCCATCGTAACTCTGAACAACCGATGCGCACCTCACACAACTCGCGACGCTTCTGAACAAAAGTCAAAGTGTTCTACACAAATGTGCCATATCATGGTTTTTCGACTTAACGGAACCAAGCGTGTTCACCAAACCTCTGCTTTGTAGTTCCCAGGAGTTCGTCAGTTTGTTAGTTAAGGATGAGTGGCTCCATGCATATGAATGTAACTGGGCTCCCAGCGCCTTAAGCGCGTTGTTCGACACATTCCCACAGCAGGCACCGAGCATGTGGCTTCCCGACCTTTTGCACACAATGCCAACGCGCGGACCCAAAACAACTGCTCCGTGCAACAACATGTGGGAAACTAGACGTGTGGAACACAGTGAGTGTGTGTGTGGATCGTTGTGCTTGTGGAACCTCAGCGTGCGGAGCCGCACGTGTGCTCGCGATGTCCTGCATGTGTGTGTGTGTGAGACCCTATGCACGTGAGGAGCGCCATGTGCTGACCCCTATGCGTGCACATGGATCCCAATGTGGGCGGTATCCTAAGCTACAGGATTCATATGCATACGGAGCCACACGTGTGTGGAACCCCACATTTTCCCCCAGTGCACTGTTTTGGAGGAGAGGGGAAGCAGGAGGCAGGAGAGGGACGCGAACAACCATCGATCAATTCACCACGCGTCACGTCGTCAGGCGTCGGTGCAAAGCCAGGGCAACCCGGGAGCACATGAGTTGATGGCTTTCCAGGCATCTCGTCCGCTAGGAGATCCGGTCCAAGACAACCCAATATTCTTTTGCCCAGCTGAGTGGGGCGACCCCAGCAGCATCGGGCTTCCCGAACCAGACCCGAAGCTTCCGACTCCGGAGCGCTGCCCCCCGAGCCAGTCCTCCCCGAGGCAACGGATCCGGCGGCTTCAGCTCCCGAGCCTGATTGCCGGGGGCGACGCAGTGAGGCTATCCTACGTCGCATTCGTGCACCTCGTGCTCGGCTTGTTCGCCCTGCCGACGATGTGGTCGGGGTCCATGTCCTGGTAGACAAGCTCGACGTCATCCGTAACTTCGAGACCGCATCTACTTTTGAGGGCGAGTGGCATCTCCGCGATGCGCGGGATGGCGTGAGCGATAATGGCCATCGCCATCTCAGCGAGCCTTGGACCTGAGTCATTCGCTTCCACGAGCGGCCCGGGATTATCGCAGACGGCAAGATGAGTATATTTGGTCGCCTTACCCGCGTCCAGGCCACGTCCTGGCTAGACCGCAGCTTGCCCGATGTCTGGAGCACCATGTCCATGGGGGGGCGACGGGCCGAACAAGAGTTCGCCAATTTTTTAACTTGAGCACAGGAGATGCGCAATCGATCTGCTAGAACTGATAAACGTTCTCATCGCTTCTGTACCCGCGACGGTGACGGCCCCGCATGGGCCGCCGCGGAACGACGTGTAACTGACGATCTACACAACAACGCCGTAATCTGAGACGACGCGTCAAGGGCGTCACCGACGGCGACGTACTTCGCGCCGCCCTCCTTGACCGACCGCGCGACATCACCGCCGTCTTATGTTACCGTCCACGACCGGAAGCCATTCCCGCGAGTGTTGCGCGCTCGCTTGCGCTGCTCGACAACGACGGTGCAGTGCCTGCGATTCCGCGTGTGCTGGGCTACCATTGGGAACGCAGGAACAAGCTCGACGCGACTCACTGGGAACGCCCGTGTCTCGTCACCCGCAACCTCACTGAGAAGGAAGTTGCGGCATGACCGTGAGCACAAGATGCACTTCGCAATGAATGTGAACGACGGGAAAAATCAAGATTTGATGCTCGAAGCAGTCGCGGGGCGCGATGATGTGAGAAAGGGCGCGCGCAATGCCATAAATGCCGTTCATTTTGCTGGCGTGCCAGAGTTTTCTCGCGTCAAACATGCCGAGCTACCCCCGGAGCTTCAGGAGAACAAGGGCCGCGTCATGGTCCAGGGGGACAGCGTTGAAGACAAAAGCGGCCTAGCCATTGCATTCGCTGACACAGCCCCAAGTTCCCCGCGCATTGAGGCCTCCAAATTGCGCGGCGCCGCGGCGCCGTTGCCGGACAGCGGCGGCGAACAAAGTGATGCGTCCGGGGCCTGCGCGCAGGCCTTGCTCTGCGGTGGCGGTCGAGTCGATCCCGTTGACGCGTGGCGTGGATTACCTTGCCCGAATGGCCACGGCCTGCCTCTTGGGCTACATGCGAGAATCCCGTTTGTCGACTGCACTTCGCTCTCCATGGCCATCCGTTGGCGGGTGTATTTTGGGGGCGACGCTGCTGTGATTGCCTGGGGCCAGTGGGATTCTGACCTATCCCTGGACAGGAATGCGTCTGGAAGCATGACAAATTTGATCTCATTATATCCGTCTACGTCGATGACTTCAAGACGGCAGGTCCTAAAACCAACCTGAAATTTGGATGGGGCTTGATATGGCACAGTGGTGCTGAATCTGACCCACCAACTCCGCCCGGCCACCGCTCGGGCTGAGGTCAGGAGACACGGGAAGTACCGCAAATCGTCTTCGACAAACAAATGGCCACAATCCGACCCATGCTACCGGGGGGCGTTGCCAAGCAACGCGTCTGCGTCGAAAGTTCGTGGGGTTCGACGCGACATGCGTGGCTTCACTCACCAGTGCATTATTCGGTGCTTGGAGTGCGTGTCCAACTTCGTCGCGCTGGTGGGTCCCAGCGCATTCTTCACGTTCAACGCTGCGTGCAAGAAGCAGGCCGTCGCGTCGCGCTCGTCTGCGGAGTCCGAGATTGTGGCTTTCGACGCGGCGCTGTGCACTGAAGGTCTACCTTTGCTTTCCTTCTGGGAAGCTGTGGTTCGCGATTCACGCCGAGGGGGGAACGTTGGCGCGTCCATGGCCGCCAAGAAGAAGAAGCCACGCAGGGCGCCTCCGCGGAAGACGCCGCCAACGCGCGCTACGTCGACGCGAGCTACGCCGCCACCACCATCGCACACATCCAACATCATATAGGAGGACATCGTACTACGTGCCCCACGCCCTTCATCCACGCCAGCACCACCTTCGATGGTGCATCTCATTGTTGACGAGGACAACCAGGCAGTTATCACCATAGTACAAGCGCCCGCGCTTCGTCATCTTCATCGTACTCATCGCACTAACTTGGATTGGATGCCAGAGACACGCTATCAGGAACACACGCAACTTACATACATGGGGAGACAACGAGCAAACTGCTGACATGATGATGAAATACTTTGAGCCTAAGAGGGCTCATTGTTGGCAAGAGTTATTGGTGCTATCGCTCATTTCCCGTTACCAATATGAAGACCGAGGAGACGTCGGAGGCCGCCGAGACAGCCCGTCTCGTTGCTACTGGCCCTCGTTGTGCCCTCCCCGAGTCTCCCATTCGCACGAGTGTGTTTGTTACCAGAAGGGCCTCTGGTCGTGGCCGTTCAGAATCTCAGGCGCGCGCTCTTTGATTCCCCCCTCAGGCGACAGGAGCGAACCTGGCCTACCTCGGACCGTCGTGGCCAACCCCCAAGATGAGCTGCGCGAAATGCAGATTGGAGGTGACACAGTGTTGGCGCCGATGGCGACATTTGCGTGGGATCAGCGTTCCTTCCGCAAGTGGCACGCCCTCTCTCCAGAGGATTCTCCGGTGAATTCCCTCCCCTCACCGCGAGAGGCGCCCCGGTGGAAGTGGACAATGCGCGCTCCGCGCGAGCAGACAGGGCCTCGTCGCCACCGCTGATCACGCGGTGCATGAGGCTTCTAATTTCCTGGGTGGCAGTAGCGTTCCGAACCCTTCTCCGCCCGCTGCCGCGCCGTGGGTTGGCTTCATGTTTGCAGGGATCTGTTTCGCAGGTTTATGTTTGAAGGGCTCCGCCATCGCGAACGCCCTTAAGCTGTGACCTGAGATCCTATTCCACAGCGTGCCTGTGCTCGGTCCTGAAGGTATCAAGTGTCTTCCGACGGCGGCGTGCAAAGACGTGGGCAGCAGTGCGTGGAAGATACTTCGTACGCCATGATATAACATTGGCAACGTCTTCGTTGGACAAACATTGGGGAAAACGGCGGCACGCGACGAGGCATGCTATGCCGATGATCCCATGCCACCACTCCTACAACCACGTGGTCGCATGTCGGTGAATTTCTGGTCTTCCTCGAGAGACTGGCGCGAAGTTACCTTGATGCGGATGATGATGAAGAGGATGATGCGGATGCTGATGATGTTGATGATGATGATGCTGATGCTGATGCTGCGGATGATGATGATGATGTTAATGATGATGAGGATGAGGATGAGGACGAGGATGAGGAGGGTGAGGAGGAGGGGGAGGAGGAGGATAATGATGATGATGAAGAACATGATGACGATGATGATGCTGATGATGATGATGCTGATGATGATGATGCTGATGATGAT